AAAATTGCGTAGCTCTAGGCCAAATGTGCTTTTGACAATTTAGAAGGTGGCGCTGTGGAGCAATTTTTCTCTTGAGGTGTGTATTGTTCTTCCAAATTATAAAATTTGTCACCGGGTCTGATGTACATGGCAATTTTGGTGAGTTTTTGAGTATGTTTAGGGCCTCAAAAACGCGTGTCTTTGGCACGAATAATAGGGTCTTCACACCCTTTTGGGTGCTCGGACACTAATAATAATAATCACAAGGGTTTCAATAGGGTCCTTGCACCGTTAGTGCTCGGACCTTAATTAAAGAAGCTAAATTCATTTTTATCCACCAGTATGCCAACAGTGCTGCACACCAGGCAGAAGATAAATGCTCCACTTCCTCACGTTTCTCCTCTCGCACACAGTTAAAGCTCCATCTTGGCAGAACAGTCACCACGACAGCCGTAATCACTGAAGAACTCCCTCTTGGGCATCATTGCTATAATAATCCATCCCGCAGCCTATTGTGCTGCACATCACCTTTGTCTCAGCGCGCTACAAGCCGGCTCTGCACAAGAACACGGCTGCATTATTTACCGAGAGCTCCAGTCACAAAGGAGCCGTGAATCAGAAGTCGCTCACGCTGCGGGTTTGAATCCCAGCAGACGCTTCCTCACACGACGCAGGCCGACGTCGACTAGAGAGGCTTTTGTGTTGTCGCTCCCAAAAGACAGACATGTTTGGATCACACGAGAGCAGAGTGTGCGCTCGCCATTCACATCTTTTCATCTAAATATTTTCTGAGACGCTTTTTGGCACCACACGGCGAGAACACGCTCTCCTGTCTGCTACGCTTTAAACAAATATTCAACAAATGCTTCTTCTTTTTTTCTTTCTTTCTTCCACTTTTAAACATCCAAGTCAAACCTGCCAAGAGTCTGACTTGAGTTTGCAGCTGAAAAACAACCAGCAACACACACACACACACACTCATGATTCCCACCATTCACAGCTGCATGGCTCCTTAAGGACACATCTGCAGGTTTCGGACCAGAACTGTGCAGCTCTCCCAGAGAAAGCAAAGCGAAGCCACAGATCCGTGTTTGCCTTTAGAGAACTTTATTTACATGTCCATATATAGCAAGGTTCAAGGTTCATGATGCGGTTGTGAAAATACCGGTCTGTCTGCCTATATGTGCCCCTAACAAATACAATAGAAAAACACATGAACGTTGGGTGTCGACGATGACGGGTCAGAGGCCGAGTCCTGAAACCGGAGACCACCTGTTTGAAATGACTTCAGTCCTGTTGTCTTCTGTTCGAGGTTGGTTTTCCCTAAAACATCTTCAGAATAAGTTCATCTTTGTACTTTTTGTAAAGAAAGAAAGAAAGAAAAAAGTAAAAAAAAACAAAAGAACAAAGACGATCTGAGTCCCAGGACAGTCCAGAGGAAACCGAGCCCTGTTCTGTCATGTATGCACAGAGATGATACAATCATGTTGCTGCAGAAACATAACCAGGAGGCCAAAAACAAAAAAACCAAAGCTGGAACCTCACAGCACACCATCGCCGCCATCTGCCACGCATCTGCTGCCCCGAGGAGGGAGCAGCCTCCTCGTGCTGCGGACTGAGCTGGACCAGACCGGGCCGAAGCGGGCCAAGCTGACTCAGGCTTGGACTTCATACACAGCACAGAATATGGACCGTATTTTTCCATTTAAAGTTTTCCAGCCCTCCCTGAACCCTCCCCGGCGCCTCCCCCGCCCCCCCAACGCGGTCCGACTGTTTTGCGAAAAATTCAAAGGCTAAAAAAATAAGTTTTTTTTTTCTTTTCTTTTTTTTTTGCTAATTTCTTGTTCACTACAGAGGTTTCATTTTGTTAAAAAAAAAAAAAGGAACATAAAAACAGGAACAAAAAACAAAAGTTCTTTGGAGGAATCCCACGATGCGCAGCTACACACTAACCAGCGTTCTCAGAGCATTAAATCAAAGTTTTCCAGAGATGTGACTTTTCCTCGCTTCTCTTCTCGCTTTGCTTCCACAAACGTAAACGAAACAACAAAGTACAAGTTGAGTGTCTCTTGCTTTCCACGCCGCCGACGCTCTGTACAGTCATTGGTTGCAGGAGTGGAGCCGTGACTCCGCCCCCTGATTATTGGTTGTTGTTGTTGTTGTTTTAAGCCAATCAGAGTTCAGTAGATGACTTCGTAGACTGTAGCTTTCTTGTCCCCGGAGCCGGTGACGATGAACTGGTCGTCGGGGGAGATGTCGCAGCTGAGCACTGACGAGGACTCCTTCGACTGAACGCAGAGAGACAGAAGAAGCAGATCAGCCACTAATGAATCACAGTTTTGTGCAAATGCAGAACAGAATTTATTTGTGTCCCAGAATAACCCTCTGATATTTAAACAGGAAGATAAAAAAAGCTGGAAACGCTTGGACGTGTTTCAGCTTCGTCAACACATTTCTCTGTTATTTTTAAAAACTCTCCGTTGAGATTGTCGTGCGCGAAACTCTCAGAAGGTCTACCTGGAATATGCTGGATCCGTACGGCGTCCGCCACGCATTCAGGAGGTTATCTTTGCCCGTGCTCACGAACCATTTACCTACAGGACAAAACACACACAGCCATCAGCAGATAAAGCCTCAGGGGAGGTGAGATATGGAGAAGGCTGAGAGGACGCTCTGCTTTTGTAAAGGAGGAGGGAAGAGAGCGTCTCTGAATAATGAGAGAAAGCAGAAGATTTGTTCTGCCTCCCTGTGATTAAACAGCCTCAGGTGCCGGTGACGCAACCAAACCATCAATCTGGCCAACGTACCGCAGTAGGCGAACTTGAGCGAGAGGACGCAGCTCTCGTGGAGGTGCAGCTGGTACTTGTCGGGTTTGGAGACGTGCAGGACCTCCACGTTGCTGCTCTCCATCCCCACGGCCAGCCACTCGCCCGTCGGACAGTAGCCCAGAGAGAAGATCTGGAGACGGAGAGGGTTAGAGATCATCAGACCAATGCTCGTTACTCCAGACTGCAAGATCAGGAGTTTGGGCAACAACAAGAAGAAGAAGGTGTGCTAGAATAGAATAAAACAGAATCCCTGTGTTGTCACTGAGCAGTGTGCAGCATCAGTGATGTCTGTGCACTCATACAATCAGACAACAGGAGTTAAAATACAGCAAGAAATGTCCAAATATGAACATGTGCTAGAAAAGACAGTACGTGCATGTATCTATGAACATGCTGTCTGGCTTTTCTTTTAAAAGGAGCTTATGTGGTGTATGAAGAACCATAAGAACAGACGGGATGCTGCACGTTGCTGAACGTATACAGAGAAGCAGTTGGATGTAAGCGTGTAGTTTCAGTAGATAAATACCAGGGGCATCAGGTAGTCGGTGCAACAGAAAACAATCTCTAGACGTAGAAAAAGTCAGAAGTAACGGGGGATAAAGAGCAAACGCTGCATGTTTTCATTGAGCCAGTTTGCTGTTTGAGACGAGCTGCTACCATCTGGGTTTAGATCTCAGGTCAGAGGCCACAGTCCTGATAATACAGGATCAAACATTTTCCTACCAACATTCTTAATTTGTTTCTATGCTCGTTCGTGTAGCCCTGTGATAGACTGGTTACCTGTCCAGGTGAACCTGCCTTCACCCTGAGTCAGCTGGGATAGGCTCCGCCCCCCATAGTGAGGATGAAGGTGTAGAGATGATGGATGGATGGTGCGAAACGTGTATTATTATTTTTATTATTTTCCTATTAAACTTGTGGAACACAGCAGTATTGCACCGCATCAGCCTGGTCCTGGTTCTAGTGCGGTGCTGGTCCTCCATGAACCCGGTCACCTCCATCACTCTCCTCCCTGCAGAGTTCTGCTTCGTGACCTCTATACGTACCTGCGAGGTGAAGTCGTGCTGCTGCAGCTGGCGTCCCTCTCGGAGGTCCCAGCAGCGGACCGTGTTGTCCAGGCCGCCCGTCCACAGCTTGGTGCCGTCGTTGGAGATGTCGATGCAGCTCGCTCCGTCCGTGTGGCCCTGAAACTGCCTGCAGGACCAGACGAACACAACAGAACCGACTCAGAGATGCACGTTCATCTTTCCCGACTCTTCTGTCGATTGCTCCTCGCTCTCTTCAGAGATCCCCTCCAGGCATGTTTAGATGTAGAAAAATACTCTGCTTTGAATAATTTCAGATTTATGTGGTTTTTTTGCTATAAAGAAAAGTTCAGTTGCCTCCTTACGCCTCCTCCCAAACACAGGACCGGCTTTCAAACCAGCTGTGATGCTCAGAGAAACTCTGTCAGCAGATGATTCCTGTAGCGTCCAACAGCATCACTGAGCCTCCAGGACAGGGAGTGATGTTTAAAAACCAAGTGGAGGGACTTTACTGAACCGTACAGCTGCTGACACATGACGACCAACGTTTCTCCAAACATGCACGCAATCCTGTGATTTGTTTTATTTTTTTATTTAATTTTCATATTTCTCAGTGATTTGAGATCAATAAAGTGTGAAAATCAACACAGAGAAAAGTTGATTTCTGCATAAAAACTCAAAGATTTTCATCCTGAAACAGTTTAAAGACAAATCATTGTCTCACAGGAATAAACTACAGACAGCTTTAAATAAAGATGGATTTTTAAAATTTAAAAACACTTTAAGCTCTATGTTGAAACGTGTCACCTGTGTGCATCTGTCAGAGGAGACAAGCGTCCAAACTAATAATTACTGATAATATAGTAAAAATAAAAAGACTAGAAAAGCTAAACATGGGAGCTCAAAATGCTCATTTTAAAGTACATAAGGAAGTAACGGTGCCACTGATTATAGTATTTATAACCTCAGCTGGTTTACAAGTTGCAGAATTTAAATGTGGATGTATTATTTGAACATTTCATAAAAATGTAAAAAATAAAATAAACTGAGAAAAACACCATCAATCACACGTAGTCTCCTGATTGGCTGCTGTGGCAGCGACACGCCAGGTGAGAGCTAAACGTGAACACGCTGCGTGGCTCCTCACAGACCGACCAGGATAAAGACTGTAATCCTGCACACAGCTCCGTCTCTGTGACTCGCATAAAAACACAGCATGCCCTATAAACTCACACCTCCAGTCTTTCCTTCTCTCGTCTCCTTTATGGCTCGACAGTGCAGATTGTAAAAATTTCTGAAATTGCACCCATTTCCTGCTTCCCTCTTCCCTCTCTGCTCATTTCCCACTCCATAACTTCTTCCATCAGTCGCTCCTCTTCCCCAAACTTGCTCAAAAACTAATCTTCCACCTGCCCTCCTCGTGTGGAGTGAAACGATTCTCACCTGACCAGCGTCTGGTTGTGGAGGTCCCAGACCACGATGTTGCCGTCGCTGCAGCAGGAGAAGCAGACCTTGTTGTCGGGGGAGATGGCCAGAGCGTAGCAGGCGGGAGCGGACGACGTCAGCTCCGCCTTGATGCGGGGAGTCGGCGTGGCCAGATCCCAGATCGACAGCGTGCTGGCCTCTCCGCCGACAATCAAGGTTCGCCCGTCGGAGAGCAGCTTACAGGAGCGGATGTAGTTATCCCTGTTCTGGTTGGACACAGTGAAGCACATTTAGAGGCACTCATACATCCTGCAGGGCGGCGCCACTGACACGGCGAGCTGCTACAGCCTCATCACAGCCACAAATACAGATGCTGGCTGGAGGACTAAAGGTGATTCATCATCCAGAGTGTTTCTAGAGCGTCGGTTTTTGTAGTAAAGCAAACACTGGACACAACATTAGATGTGAGTCTCACCAGACAGTCCAGCTGGGCCATGGGGCTCTTGCTGCCCGGCTGGCTGATGTCCCACACCTTGACGCAGCCTTTGCCTCCGGTGTAGACGTGGCGCGTGGAGGTGCTGATGGTGACGGCGCACACCACCTCCCCGTGGCTCAGGGTGTGGATCTGCCGGGCGTGACGGGGGATCCCCGGACCCAGCAGGGCGTCGGGGGGAAAGGGCACCGGCTGCATCTGTCCGTCGGCGCTCACATGGAAGGAGTAGGCGCTAAAGAGGAGACGGAGGGACGGACGTTAGCGTCTGTCTGATCAGACACAGAGCAGGAGCACACATCTGATTATTGGGCTTTTTGGCAAACAAGACAAACAATGAGCAACATTTAAGATGAAAACATTTGATGTGAAAGAACACAGAAGCGACTTTCTTCTGCTTTTCCTGCGTGTCCTGTAATCCAGGTGTGCAGCTCCAGCTGTTGGAGAACATCTCCGTGTCGGCATGTTCCCCGTCCTCCTGACTCATCTGTTCAACTCCAGATTTGCCAGAAATACTTTTTATTTTGGAGTGACTAAACCTAACATTTACTAATGACGTCCTGAAAACACTGTATGTGACTAGTTGAGTCAGTTGAAGCCGTCTCATTCCTCTGCAGACAAACACCAGCAGTAAAGTACAGCAGAGCCGGCACATGGCCAACAATTATTATAAAAATCCTGTTCAAACGCTGGAGGGATGAACTCTCTTTAAGTTTCTTGTTGTACGATCACAGGCTGCCTGATTCACAGAAGAACCACAGCGCTGTGGATTCTGACTAAAAAAAAAGTTCAGGAAGCTTGAAATTAAAGCCCCCCCCATAAATCTTCATCTTTCTGCTCTCTGCTGGTGTTGTAAGTGAAATCTGAGGAGAAGCTGAGCTTGTGAGAGCAGCTAATAGTAAGCAGGTGAAGATGTGAGTGATAGCAGCAGGAAGAGGAAACTCACGGCTTCCCGGAGGCGGCTGACTGCAGGCTGGCAGGCAGCCCAGGGACCCTCATATGTGGGTGTGGAGACTCGTAGCCCACCTGGAAGAAGGAGAAAGACGCCGTAAGAATAAAAAAAACACTCGAGGAAACACTGACATGAAATACAGGGTTTGAATCATTAAAGTAGGCGACACACACAGACAGCATCAGATGAAAGATCCGAATAAAATGAGATCGTATAAAAGCAAAGGGAGACTTGTGGAGAGCCAAGGTCATAGATTCTTACCGATAAATGACAATGCAGCTGCTCTGCCTCCACCCTGCTCTCTGTTCCATATATATCCTCTCTTTCTGCCCTCTGACGGCTTTATATGCTGAGCTATTGCATGTGACAGTGACACTGGGAAGACAAATTATCTGCAGAGCTCACCACAGGGGACCGGCCGTAGCCTGCAGCAGCTGCCGCCGCCGCCGCCGCCGCCGCTCCGTTCATCTGCGGGGACACCAAGTGGAGGCCGGCGCCGTAGCCCGCCGCCCCGGGCAGGTCCCCGTTCACCCCTGGAGGGGGCAGGCCGAACGCCCCCGGAGGGTAGGCTCCCTGCACCGCCAGGGGGTTCCTCAGACCCAGAGCTGGAGGCAGGTAGGAGCGACAGAGGGTTAATGTGCTTTGAATTATTGAAGTGAACAAATTAGAGATCGAGGCAACAACACAGTTCATCAGTGACTGGAGAGCTTCATATAGGATTTGAGGCCAGAGTCAGATCGGTTTTATTACGGCGCTCCCTCTGCAGACAGCTGTGACTGACAGGCTGAGAACAAGCTGCAACAAAAGGCAGCAACCCGCTGCAGCAACTCAGACCACTACTGACCCCTGCTGGCCGCCCTGGCTTCCTGCAGCGAGACCACACGTGCACATAAATCTATATATTCCGCCGCCGCGTGTACGCTGGTGTACGCATGCATGCATAATGGCTGTGAAAGCGGAGCGGGGGCCTAACAGGTGATGTGAGGAAGACAGAAAAAAAAAAAGAGAAAGCGATACAGTGGAATAGATGGAGGCTCATTACGAAGCAGCTCACAGTCACAGTCCATCACCTCTCCTAATCTTTCCATTTAAAAAGTGAGGCGCGCTGAATATTTTTGCCCACAGCTGCTTATTAAGTCCAGATGGTGGTCGGTGGTGGGGAGCTGGCTGACACTCATACCAACTACTGCGGCCCGGCGCTGATAGAATCACTTCATGTACCGAAGCCAGGACCGGCTGAAAAACAATTAAAACACATCTCTGCAAATACAGATGTTTTAATTGATCCTCTGTGCTCCTGAGAGAAGAGCTCCACGAATCTGGCTTTTGGTCTCCTGAGGAGACGTTTTGTTACGTGGACAAGATTTCCAGTTTCGCTTCACATCAACTGCGGCTTTCTGGAGTCCGATGATGTGTTCTGGCACCGAGTCAAGTCACATTTATTTACATGAGGCGCGTTTAAAACAACAGGAGTGGAGCTGAAATACAAACGGCAGCTCATAAGACACAAACACAAGAAAATAAAGAGGAACAGAAGATGCAGCACAACAGAAGATCACGTCGGGGTGTCAGGCTCGGCTTGGATGGAAAGCCAACCAGAGGAGGTGGATGTTCAGTTTCTAAAGTCTCAGCGGTTCTCACATGAAAAGCCAAAGTGCTCCAGAGATTAGGAGCAGCTACGGCGAAGGTCATTCCTGTGTCAGGATTGTGGAACATGTGAAGCGTTGGGCTGGTTGGTCTCTAACGTGGGTATGAACATGTGACGCGTTCTGCTAAATGAGGAGGCGGCGGCTCATTTACAACCTTTAAACAAACAATAGAATCATCCAGGAGCCGGCACGAAGCCAGAGGAGAGAGGCTACCACAGGAACTATCAGATGATCTGTTCTTCAGGGAGCTAAGGCGAGCTCGTGGACGTTCTTACCGAGGGGGTCGACGCCCGGCTTGCCCGGCACCGGTCTGAACTGTGGAGGTCCGCTTGGTCCTGGTGTGTTGGACTCCTGAGACATCGGGGTCCCCGGCTTCATACCTGGAGTGCTGGACTTCTCCCTCTGTTAGAAAATAAAGAAAACTCCAGTAAACAAACGGGCCGTCTTTGGTATTCGATGTGTGGAGTGACGTAGTGAAGGACAGAGCCGGTCAGGGAGAGGACGAGAAGAAAAATGGCAAGAAAATAAAAAAAAGGAAAAGACAGTGAGACTGAAGGCAGATGGGACCTGAAGCAGCCCTGTGGGACGTCACCAGGCTGACTGTGTGGGATGTTGACTATCCCACATAATAACTCAAAGACAAACTGTTGACCCTGAACAAAGCAGCGAGTGCTGACAGACGTCCTACGCTGAAGCACACCGTGTCTGCATATGTGAAGCAAACATTAAAGACAGCCATGAAAATACGTCCGTGTCCAACAGCCGGATAAACAGTAATTTATGAGCACCTGTGGGGGATCTTTGCCACGAGACGGGGAGGTGGCGCTGCTGGACGAGGCCAGCGAGGTGGGGCTGGCCTGCGGAGGACCTTCCTTACGGGACGGAGGCATCTTGTCCAAACCGTTCTCCCTGGACGAGTAGGACTGAACGCTGCGGGGGGACGACGGGTCCTGAATGTAAAAACACAGACCAGGTTATCAGCAAAGACAGAAGAAAAAGAAGAAGTGATATCTGTCTCATCATTACTCTGCTGAACATGTTCCATGATGGTGACCTTAAAGGTTTGTGTTCATAAAAGAAAAAAGTGACGAAATTATCACAGAAAAAAGTTTTGTTTTTACATTTATGGAGAAAAACAGGCCTCCAGTGTTCTCCAGAGTGAATTATGGGAGTGAAGATCCACAAGCCTGCTCGCATCTATGCCAAAGTCTGTCTGAACCAACCTGAGGTATAAACTCTAGAGAGTTCAGTGACAGTTTTCTGTCATTAGAAATTCAAGTTTTACACTAAACTCAGTCGGCCAAAGCTTCACAGAGCCTCATGCTGCAGAACAGAACCGGTCCAGTTACATTCAGGCTCAATCTTCAAGCTTTTGCTGATAAAACGTCGTCACTTGACTTGTATGAAACTCAGTCATAATCACAGCATTAACATGTGAGCTACACTTTGTGAGCGACTTCGTCCTCGAAGCGCCAAAGTCGAGTTCAACAGTTCAGCATTTGTGCCAAACTGAAGAAAGTCCGTCCAGGCGTCGGGCAGATGACACGAATGTTCTGGACTAACTCCGGCTGTCGTAGATGTTCTCTCCATCACTTCTATTACAAACAGACTCATGTTGAGCCTCAACCAGAGGAACAAATTCAGGTCAAAAGTCTTCATCGGTGTTCTCAGGGGAACCTGACAGACCTGAAAAACAGCCTCTAGCTGCTGCTTTAGTTAATTTATTCCAAACTAGACGTAACAGGAACCGGTGGAGTGTCTGCAGCCTACATGTGAAAGCTCTCGTCAGCGGGTCAGCTCACCTTGTGCACAACACACACTTATGCATTCATTAGACTGACAAAGACAACATTTCTCCTTTAAAAAGCACCTGATTTATTTCCCTTTGTTAATCTTCCAACCTCGCTGTCTGCACTCATTCAAACAGAATAAAACTCAGTCGTCACGTCGGCAGCTTTACACCGACGTGTTTTAAAGACGTCCACTTGAACCGCGGTCCGGCTCGCGTTCCTTTGAGCTCTGCGGTGGTGTGCTGCTAAATGAGTGCAGGTAGACTCAGGTGGAGGACGGAGGGAGGGGATTACCGCTATTATTACTATTCATATGGTCCTGCTGGGTATGTTTACATGATGTATGCAGATAAAAGCGGTCAAGTGAGGCAAACGGAGGCCGGCGGCCGCCTACTAACCTCATCCACCACCAAATTATCATCACTCTTATCCGCATCGCTGCCCTGCGAGAGAAAGAGGGAGAAGGTGAGATGAGATATTGCTGCTCTGCGCTCTGATGTATGCAGATTACCTGCAGAACAAGTCATGCACCAAGAAGCGTCTGCGTGCAACTTAACATACATGAAAAATGCTTCTATCTGGAAATGTTATTACTCCAGATGGTTGGAAGTGCAGGAAACACGGAGAACAAACAGTGCAATCCTCTGGTTTTTTGTATTTCAGGTCGAATAGACGTCAATAATTCTGAATTAAATAAGTATGCAACATTAAGTTATCTTGGACTAAAGCTTAAATCTTACAAGAATGAACACATCGAATCCTGCACAGTAACTCAAACAGCAGAAACTGTTTGAAACGCCGGCCTGCCGGTCTGCCACTGGGCTCATCTGAGGACCGGCAGAGTTGGGTGAAACTTTCCTCCAGTTACTCAAACATTTAAGAGCGTTATGAAAGCGTCCTCACATAGTCTGTCATGAACTCCTTCTCATCAGCTTTCCTCTTCTTGCCGTTGCTGAGGTAGTCTGCCTGCCGACCCTTATCCCCATTGGACAGAGAGCTCTGCAGAGAGAGAGAGAGCAGAGCGGTGAGGCAAGGAGCAGAGGGGAGGTGTGCACGAGGGCACAAAGACGAGGAGGAGGAGGAGATGAAGGTGGGAAGGACGGACGAGTGGAGGGAGAAAGGGCGTGAGGGCCGAGAGGAAGGAAGAGGGTGATAATGAGGTGAGAGGGACTGCATAAATCATGCCAGGCTCATAAGCTGCTGCAGAGATGAATGTGAAAGAATAGCACGCTGCATCGATCGGCTGCTTGGCGCAGGACTGAGAGGAAGAAAGAGAATCCTTCAAGTTTTTCTTTAAAGCGGCAGAAAAGACTGCCGAGAATGCTTTTGGCATTGATGGAGATTTTTATTTTTTTTCCCCCCACAAGTACCGTCGCAGTTCTATGGCGCTGAGATCTAAACGGTTCTCATACCGGTTCAAGTATCAGTGAGTGATCCTGGTTTTAGAAAATGCCAAACATGAAGCGAGATGCTACTTTTATAGAACAGAATTTAAAACCAGAGGGGGGAACAAATCAAAGCTGACTAAACCTGTGTTCTGTAAAGCGCCTGCAGCTCGCAGCGTAAAGACATAAACAGGCCGTAAAAGGTGGAAGAACACCAGCTGGTCTGTTTGTTTGCTAAATAACACACACAATAAGGTAAAGTTTACTCATGGCAACATGCAGAGAGTGCACGACGACGCAAGTTCAACAAAGCCAGGCTTTCTTTGTGTTAAATGGATTAACAAAACCTAAACTTTCTAACAGAGACTTTGTGTCACATCGGTGGATTTGAACTTTCTTTTTTTAAAAGTAATTTTTTTGGGTTTATTAAATAGAGAGAGAGACAGGAGAAAGACCTGCAGCAAAGGGCCATGAGTGGGATTTGAACTCATGACCTCCACATCAGGACTGTCGCCCTGCACCTGGGACACCAGCTCAACCAGGTGAGCTATAGCGGCGGCCCAATATCAGCTTTCTTTTTAACCAGATTTATTCATCAGACTCTGCGTTCGTTCTGATTAAAGTTGGAGTTTGATGCATTATTTAACCCTTTCGTTGCACCAAACAGACGGTTTCCTGCTGACTGTCGTCATGACGAAGTGCTGCTGCTGCAAATGATGCCAGAAAGAAGCGCTGATAGAAAACCGTCCCCATAAGTTAAAATAATTATTTGATCCCTCAGTTCAGTCTTAATGCAGCTGCTGATATTTTACACGACAGCTGCGTTTCGTTCTGACGCTGTCCAGTAACCAAGGATACGTAGAAATCGCTGAAGTTTGTGGCCGAATCAAAGTGAATTTAACGTTATTGATTAAATATTCTCTGTGATAAATACCAATAGACTCATCAGTTTTCCATCCTGTGTTCTATGAGCTGCAGCACCGACAGCAGGAAGCAGAATCAGGACCAAGAATCCAAACTTATTGATGTTCTTCCTTCATCACCAGCACCGAGGTTCATACGACGATGTGACATGTAGAAGTTTGTGATTCTGTAACTGCTCGGCTTCCTTCATTAAAATGACTTTTGTACAACTTATTAGGTTTATAGATTTAAATTCTGAGCAGACCGTCCTGTGTAGCATCGGTTACCATGGTGATCTAGCAGAATAACTTAGGCTAAGCTAACCTGCTAATCCTGCTTCGTGATGCTCGCCTCAGGAAAACGTAACCATAAGTAAGTAAACAATAAAACATCAACACAGACCAACGACGGATAATAAAGGTTCTTATAACCATCAGGTAATGAAAGCTCATTTACTCTGATGAAAATATACCTGTTTTAGAGAAATCACTATTTTCCCACTAATTTCTTCGGAAAATCTCAGAAATTACTAAAATAAAGTGTCACTATGTTTTTACCATCCACACATTTCCCCTTTGTGGCTGTTCACCAAACACCTATAAAACAAAGCATCACCAGAAAACAGCTAAAACCTGGAAACATCTAGATTCTGACATTTTTAGTTAAAAATAAACATTAAAAACATTAAAAACATAACTCCTCTGTGCAGCCTCTGAGGAGTCGATTCCCGTATTCGACACTGAATTTGCCTACAATTGAACAAAAGCTGGACAGGTGTGATTGTACCCGACACAGGTGACGGTGTAGTAATTTGTACTTACTGGTCCTGCTTCACGGTCTGTTTATTCCAGGCAGGAGCACATCCAGGTACCAGGCGACGGGACAGCAAACGCAGAGGAGGACACACACACACAGGAAAACACACAAATGCAAGATTATCTGCCATCACTTTACATCACTCTGCAGCTGATGACTCAGTGGAAAAATATCCCTGAGGAGTGTTATTATCAGCAGCACTCCGGTGCCCTGCCAAAATTCCAAAGCAAAACCAATCATCAGAAGCCATCGAGCCAAGCTTTGGTGTTTACTCTACTCCTACTCCAGCGAGATGTTTTCATCTTCCAAAACGCAGTCCAACTCTTGTCCCGGCCCTAAACTCATCTCGGCTTTTACACTTTTCTTTTTTTTTTTTTTGCTTTGAGAGACGCAAACTGCATCAAAAAAAAAAAAANCTCACCAGACAGTCCAGCTGGGCCATGGGGCTCTTGCTGCCCGGCTGGCTGATGTCCCACACCTTGACGCAGCCTTTGCCTCCGGTGTAGACGTGGCGCGTGGAGGTGCTGATGGTGACGGCGCACACCACCTCCCCGTGGCTCAGGGTGTGGATCTGCCGGGCGTGACGGGGGATCCCCGGACCCAGCAGGGCGTCGGGGGGAAAGGGCACCGGCTGCATCTGTCCGTCGGCGCTCACATGGAAGGAGTAGGCGCTAAAGAGGAGACGGAGGGAAGGACGTTAGCGTCTGTCTGATCAGACACAGAGCAGGAGCACACATCTGATTATTGGGCTTTTTGGCAAACAAGACAAACAATGAGCAACATTTAAGATGAAAACATTTGATGTGAAAGAACACAGAAGCGACTTTCTTCTGCTTTTCCTGCGTGTCCTGTAATCCAGGTGTGCAGCTCCAGCTGTTGGAGAACATCTCCGTGTCGGCATGTTCCCCGTCCTCCTGACTCATCTGTTCAACTCCAGATTTGCCAGAAATACTTTTTATTTTGGAGTGACTAAACCTAACATTTACTAATGACGTCCTGAAAACACTGTATGTGACTAGTTGAGTCAGTTGAAGCCGTCTCATTCCTCTGCAGACAAACACCAGCAGTAAAGTACAGCAGAGCCGGCACATGGCCAACAATTATTATAAAAATCCTGTTCAAACGCTGGAGGGATGAACTCTCTTTAAGTTTCTTGTTGTACGATCACAGGCTGCCTGATTCACAGAAGAACCACAGCGCTGTGGATTCTGACTAAAAAAAAAGTTCAGGAAGCTTGAAATTAAAGCCCCCCCCATAAATCTTCATCTTTCTGCTCTCTGCTGGTGTTGTAAGTGAAATCTGAGGAGAAGCTGAGCTTGTGAGAGCAGCTAATAGTAAGCAGGTGAAGATGTGAGTGATAGCAGCAGGAAGAGGAAACTCACGGCTTCCCGGAGGCGGCTGACTGCAGGCTGGCAGGCAGCCCAGGGACCCTCATATGTGGGTGTGGAGACTCGTAGCCCACCTGGAAGAAGGAGAAAGACGCCGTAAGAATAAAAAAAACACTCGAGGAAACACTGACATGAAATACAGGGTTTGAATCATTAAAGTAGGCGACACACACAGACAGCATCAGATGAAAGATCCGAATAAAATGAGATCGTATAAAAGCAAAGGGAGACTTGTGGAGAGCCAAGGTCATAGATTCTTACCGATAAATGACAATGCAGCTGCTCTGCCTCCACCCTGCTCTCTGTTCCATATATATCCTCTCTTTCTGCCCTCTGACGGCTTTATATGCTGAGCTATTGCATGTGACAGTGACACTGGGAAGACAAATTATCTGCAGAGCTCACCACAGGGGACCGGCCGTAGCCTGCAGCAGCTGCCGCCGCCGCCGCCGCCGCCGCTCCGTTCATCTGCGGGGACACCAAGTGGAGGCCGGCGCCGTAGCCCGCCGCCCCGGGCAGGTCCCCGTTCACCCCTGGAGGGGGCAGGCCGAACGCCCCCGGAGGGTAGGCTCCCTGCACCGCCAGGGGGTTCCTCAGACCCAGAGCTGGAGGCAGGTAGGAGCGACAGAGGGTTAATGTGCTTTGAATTATTGAAGTGAACAAATTAGAGATCGAGGCAACAACACAGTTCATCAGTGACTGGAGAGCTTCATATAGGATTTGAGGCCAGAGTCAGATCGGTTTTATTACGGCGCTCCCTCTGCAGACAGCTGTGACTGACAGGCTGAGAACAAGCTGCAACAAAAGGCAGCAACCCGCTGCAGCAACTCAGACCACTACTGACCCCTGCTGGCCGCCCTGGCTTCCTGCAGCGAGACCACACGTGCACATAAATCTATATATTCCGCCGCCGCGTGTACGCTGGTGTACGCATGCATGCATAATGGCTGTGAAAGCGGAGCGGGGGCCTAACAGGTGATGTGAGGAAGACAGAAAAAAAAAAAGAGAAAGCGATACAGTGGAATAGATGGAGGCTCATTACGAAGCAGCTCACAGTCACAGTCCATCACCTCTCCTAATCTTTCCATTTAAAAAGTGAGGCGCGCTGAATATTTTTGCCCACAGCTGCTTATTAAGTCCAGATGGTGGTCGGTGGTGGGGAGCTGGCTGACACTCATACCAACTACTGCGGCCCGGCGCTGATAGAATCACTTCATGTACCGAAGCCAGGACCGGCTGAAAAACAATTAAAACACATCTCTGCAAATACAGATGTTTTAATTGATCCTCTGTGCTCCTGAGAGAAGAGCTCCACGAATCTGGCTTTTGGTCTCCTGAGGAGACGTTTTGTTACGTGGACAAGATTTCCAGTTTCGCTTCACATCAACTGCGGCTTTCTGGAGTCCGATGATGTGTTCTGGCACCGAGTCAAGTCACATTTATTTACATGAGGCGCGTTTAAAACAACAGGAGTGGAGCTGAAATACAAACGGCAGCTCATAAGACACAAACACAAGAAAATAAAGAGGAACAGAAGATGCAGCACAACAGAAGATCACGTCGGGGTGTCAGGCTCGGCTTGGATGGAAAGCCAACCAGAGGAGGTGGATGTTCAGTTTCTAAAGTCTCAGCGGTTCTCACATGAAAAGCCAAAGTGCTCCAGAGATTAGGAGCAGCTACGGCGAAGGTCATTCCTGTGTCAGGATTGTGGAACATGTGAAGCGTTGGGCTGGTTGGTCTCTAACGTGGGTATGAACATGTGACGCGTTCTGCTAAATGAGGAGGCGGCGGCTCATTTACAACCTTTAAACAAACAATAGAATCATCCAGGAGCCGGCACGAAGCCAGAGGAGAGAGGCTACCACAGGAACTATCAGATGATCTGTTCTTCAGGGAGCTAAGGCGAGCTCGTGGACGTTCTTACCGAGGGGGTCGACGCCCGGCTTGCCCGGCACCGGTCTGAACTGTGGAGGTCCGCTTGGTCCTGGTGTGTTGGACTCCTGAGACATCGGGGTCCCCGGCTTCATACCTGGAGTGCTGGACTTCTCCCTCTGTTAGAAAATAAAGAAAACTCCAGTAAACAAACGGGCCGTCTTTGGTATTCGATGTGTGGAGTGACGTAGTGAAGGACAGAGCCGGTCAGGGAGAGGACGAGAAGAAAAATGGCAAGAAAATAAAAAAAAGGAAAAGACAGTGAGACTGAAGGCAGATGGGACCTGAAGCAGCCCTGTGGGACGTCACCAGGCTGACTGTGTGGGATGTTGACTATCCCACATAATAACTCAAAGACAAACTGTTGACCCTGAACAAAGCAGCGAGTGCTGACAGACGTCCTACGCTGAAGCACACCGTGTCTGCATATGTGAAGCAAACATTAAAGACAGCCATGAAAATACGTCCGTGTCCAACAGCCGGATAAACAGTAATTTATGAGCACCTGTGGGGGATCTTTGCCACGAGACGGGGAGGTGGCGCTGCTGGACGAGGCCAGCGAGGTGGGGCTGGCCTGCGGAGGACCTTCCTTACGGGACGGAGGCATCTTGTCCAAACCGTTCTCCCTGGACGAGTAGGACTGAACGCTGCGGGGGGACGACGGGTCCTGAATGTAAAAACACAGACCAGGTTATCAGCAAAGACAGAAGAAAAAGAAGAAGTGATATCTGTCTCATCATTACTCTGCTGAACATGTTCCATGATGGTGACCTTAAAGGTTTGTGTTCATAAAAGAAAAAAGTGACGAAATTATCACAGAAAAAAGTTTTGTTTTTACATTTATGGAGAAAAACAGGCCTCCAGTGTTCTCCAGAGTGAATTATGGGAGTGAAGATCCACAAGCCTGCTCGCATCTATGCCAAAGTCTGTCTGAACCAACCTGAGGTATAAACTCTAGAGAGTTCAGTGACAGTTTTCTGTCATTAGAAATTCAAGTTTTACACTAAACTCAGTCGGCCAAAGCTTCACAGAGCCTCATGCTGCAGAACAGAACCGGTCCAGTTACATTCAGGCTCAATCTTCAAGCTTTTGCTGATAAAACGTCGTCACTTGACTTGTATGAAACTCAGTCATAATCACAGCATTAACATGTGAGCTACACTTTGTGAGCGACTTCGTCCTCGAAGCGCCAAAGTCGAGTTCAACAGTTCAGCATTTGTGCCAAACTGAAGAAAGTCCGTCCAGGCGTCGGGCAGATGACACGAATGTTCTGGACTAACTCCGGCTGTCGTAGATGTTCTCTCCATCACTTCTATTACAAACAGACTCATGTTGAGCCTCAACCAGAGGAACAAATTCAGGTCAAAAGTCTTCATCGGTGTTCTCAGGGGAACCTGACAGACCTGAAAAACAGCCTCTAGCTGCTGCTTTAGTTAATTTATTCCAAACTAGACGTAACAGGAACCGGTGGAGTGTCTGCAGCCTACATGTGAAAGCTCTCGTCAGCGGGTCAGCTCACCTTGTGCACAACACACACTTATGCATTCATTAGACTGACAAAGACAACATTTCTCCTTTAAAAAGCACCTGATTTATTTCCCTTTGTTAATCTTCCAACCTCGCTGTCTGCACTCATTCAAACAGAATAAAACTCAGTCGTCACGTCGGCAGCTTTACACCGACGTGTTTTAAAGACGTCCACTTGAACCGCGGTCCGGCTCGCGTTCCTTTGAGCTCTGCGGTGGTGTGCTGCTAAATGAGTGCAGGTAGACTCAGGTGGAGGACGGAGGGAGGGGATTACCGCTATTATTACTATTCATATGGTCCTGCTGGGTATGTTTACATGATGTATGCAGATAAAAGCGGTCAAGTGAGGCAAACGGAGGCCGGCGGCCGCCTACTAACCTCATCCACCACCAAATTATCATCACTCTTATCCGCATCGCTGCCCTGCGAGAGAAAGAGGGAGAAGGTGAGATGAGATATTGCTGCTCTGCGCTCTGATGTATGCAGATTACCTGCAGAACAAGTCATGCACCAAGAAGCGTCTGCGTGCAACTTAACATACATGAAAAATGCTTCTATCTGGAAATGTTATTACTCCAGATGGTTGGAAGTGCAGGAAACACGGAGAACAAACAGTGCAATCCTCTGGTTTTTTGTATTTCAGGTCGAATAGACGTCAATAATTCTGAATTAAATAAGTATGCAACATTAAGTTATCTTGGACTAAAGCTTAAATCTTACAAGAATGAACACATCGAATCCTGCACAGTAACTCAAACAGCAGAAACTGTTTGAAACGCCGGCCTGCCGGTCTGCCACTGGGCTCATCTGAGGACCGGCAGAGTTGGGTGAAACTTTCCTCCAGTTACTCAAACATTTAAGAGCGTTATGAAAGCGTCCTCACATAGTCTGTCATGAACTCCTTCTCATCAGCTTTCCTCTTCTTGCCGTTGCTGAGGTAGTCTGCCTGCCGACCCTTATCCCCATTGGACAGAGAGCTCTGCAGAGAGAGAGAGAGCAGAGCGGTGAGGCAAGGAGCAGAGGGGAGGTGTGCACGAGGGCACAAAGACGAGGAGGAGGAGGAGATGAAGGTGGGAAGGACGGACGAGTGGAGGGAGAAAGGGCGTGAGGGCCGAGAGGAAGGAAGAGGGTGATAATGAGGTGAGAGGGACTGCATAAATCATGCCAGGCTCATAAGCTGCTGCAGAGATGAATGTGAAAGAATAGCACGCTGCATCGATCGGCTGCTTGGCGCAGGACTGAGAGGAAGAAAGAGAATCCTTCAAGTTTTTCTTTAAAGCGGCAGAAAAGACTGCCGAGAATGCTTTTGGCATTGATGGAGATTTTTATTTTTTTTCCCCCCACAAGTACCGTCGCAGTTCTATGGCGCTGAGATCTAAACGGTTCTCATACCGGTTCAAGTATCAGTGAGTGATCCTGGTTTTAGAAAATGCCAAACATGAAGCGAGATGCTACTTTTATAGAACAGAATTTAAAACCAGAGGGGGGAACAAATCAAAGCTGACTAAACCTGTGTTGTGTAAAGCGCCTGCAGCTCGCAGCGTAAAGACATAAACAGGCCGTAAAAGGTGGAAGAACACGAGCTGGTCTGTTTGTTTGCTAAACAACACACACAATAAGGTAAAGTTTACTCATGGCAACAACCAGAGGAGTGCACGGCGACGCAGGTTCAACAAAGCCAGGCTTTCTTTGTGTTAACTGGATTAACAAAACCTAAACTTTCTAACAGAGACTTTGTGTCACATCGGTGGATTTGAACTTTCTTTTTTTAAAAGTAATTTTTTTGGGTTTATTAAATAGAGAGAGAGACAGGAGAAAGACCTGCAGCAAAGGGCCATGAGTGGGATTTGAACTCATGACCTCCACATCAGGACTGTCGCCCTGCACCTGGGACACCAGCTCAACCAGGTGAGCTATAGCGGCGGCCCAATATCAGCTTTCTTTTTAACCAGATTTATTCATCAGACTCTGCGTTCGTTCTGATTAAAGTTGGAGTTTGATGCATTATTTAACCCTTTCGTTGCACCAAACAGACGGTTTCCTGCTGACTGTCGTCATGACGAAGTGCTGCTGCTGCAAATGATGCCAGAAAGAAGCGCTGATAGAAAACCGTCCCCATAAGTTAAAATAATTATTTGATCCCTCAGTTCAGTCTTAATGCAGCTGCTGATATTTTACACGACAGCTGCGTTTCGTTCTGACGCTGTCCAGTAACCAAGGATACGTGGAAATCACTGAAGTTTGTGGCCGAATCAAAGTGAATTTAACGTTATTGATTAAATATTCTCTGTGATAAATACCAATAGACTCATCAGTTTTCCATCCTGTGTTCTATGAGCTGCAGCACCGACAGCAGGAAGCAGAATCAGGACCAAGAATCCAAACTTATTGATGTTCTTCCTTCATCACCAGCACCGAGGTTCATACGACGATGTGACATGTAGAAGTTTGTGATTCTGTAACTGCTCGGCTTCCTTCATTAAAATGACTTTTGTACAACTTATTAGGTTTATAGATTTAAATTCTGAGCAGACCGTCCTGTGTAGCATCGGTTACCATGGTGATCTAGCAGAATAACTTAGGCTAAGCTAACCTGCTAATCCTGCTTCGTGATGCTCGCCTCAGGAAAACGTAACCATAAGTAAGTAAACAATAAAACATCAACACAGACCAACGACGGATAATAAAGGTTCTTATAACCATCAGGTAATGAAAGCTCATTTACTCTGATGAAAATATACCTGTTTTAGAGAAATCACTATTTTCCCACTAATTTCTTCGGAAAATCTCAGAAATTACTAAAATAAAGTGTCACTATGTTTTTACCATCCACACATTTCCCCTTTGTGGCTGTTCACCAAACACCTATAAAACAAAGCATCAGCAGAAAACAGCTAACACCTGGAAAAATCTAGATTCTGACATTTTTAGTTAAAAATAAACATTAAAAACATTAAAAACATAACTCCTCTGTGCAGCCTCTGAGGAGTCGATTCCCGTATTCGACACTGAATTTGCCTACAATTGAACAAAAGCTGGACAGGTGTGATTGTACCTGACACAGGTGACGGTGTAGTAATTTGTACTTACTGGTCCTGCTTCACGGTCTGTTTATTCCAGGCAGGAGCACATCCAGGTACCAGGCGACGGGACAGCAAACGCAGAGGAGGACACACACACACAGGAAAACACACAAATGCAAGATTATCTGCCATCACTTTACATCACTCTGCAGCTGATGACTCAGTGGAAAAATATCCCTGAGGAGTGTTATTATCAGCAGCACTCCGGTGCCCTGCCAAAATTCCAAAGCAAAACCAATCATCAGAAGCCATCGAGCCAAGCTTTGGTGTTTACTCTACTCCTACTCCAGCGAGATGTTTTCATCTTCCAAAACGCAGTCCAACTCTTGTCCCGGCCCTAAACTCATCTCGGCTTTTACACTTTTCTTTTTTTTTTTTTTGCTTTGAGAGACGCAAACTGCATCAAAAAAAAAAAAGGAGTCAAACGTGTAGAGAGCTCCTGTACCTCTGTGGTGCTCTGCGGCGGCGGCGGCGGCGGCTGCTGCCTCCAGGTGCGCTCTCTCGTCTTTGGCAGCCAGCTGGGCCCCCAGAGCCCCGGACAGGGCCAGCAGACCGGACCCTCCGCCCAGCGCCAGGCCCGGGTGGGGCAGTCCTGACGGGTGTGGGCCCACCGGCAGACCCTGGGCGTGCTGGGAGAGGTGCTGGGCCTGGAGCTGCTGCTGCACAGAGGGAAACAAGAGGAGGAAGCAGAGGAGACAGAGGAGACAGTAGAAAGAGAGATCTGGGTGACTTACAAGCACTGGAGGAGGCGGCTTCAGAGGAAGCGAATTAAGGAGAAGAAAGGAGGAAGGAAAGAAAGGGAACTAATTGCTGCGATGTGCACGAGAGGACAATGCTAAGGTCAAGGCAGTGGCTCTCTGGGAGGGAAGCTCTGCGTGTCAAACCAAAAGGATGAGAACTGAAGGGACAAACAAACTTAGTTTGCATTAAAAAAAAATAATCACACCAAAAATTTGACATTTTTGGGGCTGTTCTGGTGCCTGGTGGACACACTTTAATAAAAAAAGATCCTAAACCAATTGTTTGTGTTTTTAAAAGTCAGCTTAAGCCGTCTTTTACCAATATTAGCCAATCAGTCGGGGCGTTTTAGAGTGGGCCAATGGATGTTTGTCTTACTAAAAAGAAAAGAAAAGGAGGAAAAATAATTTTAAAAAAAATATGGGAGTATAAGGTACACACGCTATGAGGCAGAGGGGGGAGCCCACGTACCCCTATCGAAGCATTTAGCTCCCCCATGGTCACCTGTTTGGCGCGCTCCATTGCCTGGACCACCTGTTGTTGATGCTGTGGAACAAACCAAGACGTCAGTAAAGGCAGGGGGAGTCAGAGTTAAGCTAGACAAAAATAAATCCAACGTAAACTCAACTAACATTCACAATACTTCATAGTTAGCAGGAATGTCTCAACCAGATTTTAATAAATCCTGATCAGGGCATTATTTAAACAGATCAGTAACAGATCTGTAGTTTACATCACACAGGTGACATGAACTGAGTCTGTGGTAGGACACTGGAGATCTATTGGCAGCGTTATTAACCAATAATGGATTAACTGACAGCACAAATTGACCTCAGAAGACTTTTTTCCTGAGCTGATTGTGCTGATGTAGGAAACAGAGTCCAGTCTGTCTTCTCCATGAGCTCTGGCTGCAGGTCATTGAGCACCACACAAGTCTCTGTCATGGTGCTTGTCACCAGCTAAACCTCCACAACGCTCTCTGCTGCCAACATGGAACCGCCTTCAGTCTAATTGACTGAATCCATTGATCGATATGGTATTAATCGAGGCTCCACCTGGTGGAGCAACCAGGTACTACAGCTGATCTACGGTACGTTTTCTGACCTGTACATAGAGAACACTGGTTCTCAGTTTTTTGGAGCTTGTGGAGCCACAGTACACTCTGAACTCTCCACATATTTCAACAGCGTCCTCCTGGAGTTTTACAACAACATTTGAGACTGCCCAAGTCACGCTAAGGAACAACTGGGATGAAGTTTGTTTCTTAAGCTGTTCAGGTGTGAAGCACATACAACAAGGTTAATGTACTTAACTGTGTGTTGTCTAGGAAGGTGGTCTCTGATTAGGATGCTGTAATGGCAT